TTTTCCAAAGCTAAAGAGAAGAAGGAAAATTCTCAAATGCCCGAACACAGCAACAAGAATGGAGTAAGAAGTATGCAAGCCTGGAATCTCTCTTAAAAATTAAACAGCTTTATTTAAATACAAGGTTACTGTAAAACATACATTAGGGTACTCTTATACCAATATATTAACTATTGTAATCAGTGTACTATTTATTAAAGCATAATACTCGTGAGAAACAGGAGGAAACAGCCTGTAGAGTTTTGTTTTCCAAAACAAAATTGTCTATGACCCAGACAATTTAAAGTCAAACTGTAAAAAAAACTTTAAAAAAGCAGTTTAAAATCTAGTTCAAAACAGTTTTTGCCCTAAGTATGCAGCTCAGACATACTATTTCTTTTTGTCTGGTAGGAACAGGATACCAAATATCCATTTGCCTTCTATAAAGGCATGAAAAAACCCAGCCCAATTCTAATCTGATTTGTGCCCCACTGGCATCAGCGAGTGGGTCTGTCAGCACGGCGCTGTGCACTTAGGAAAAAAAACAGTAATTTTGCAGCTCTGTCAGCGCAGAAAGCCGGGCGGGTTTTCTGGGGTTTGAGATTTCTTTCCCTGCCGGGGATGCCGTCTGTCCTTTCTATTCAGCATGACATGAACCCCTGCAGAATTACAGAGCAGCACGAGCGGGTTCAAGGTGCAAGTGTGATGTCCCTGAGGTTTAACAGGAGTCTGCGGAATATAAATATACACTTGTAAGTAATCCTAAAACAAGGAAGTTAGTCCGTAGCAGCTTTAGCATATGATGGAGAGGTACTGAGTTTGGCGTAGGTCGGAAGATCAATGGAAAAACCTTCCTCTTAGCGATACAGGAGAAGCCACCTCACTCCAGGAACAGGTGGTTTAGGAGCGGGGAGACGGCCTCTCCCGTCCGTGCCACGTTTCTACCAACCAGAAGCCATCCCCCCAAAATAGTTCTTGTGGTCCCATTTGGCCTCTTTTGCTAAACCAACCTCTTCTCCCTTAGGTCAGTTCACCAGTGCAAAACAAACGCAGCGGCTGAGAGAACAGTTCAAAGGAGGTTTCGAGGCAGGTTGCTGTTTGCAAGGAAGGGAAACACAACTACAGGGCAAAAGAAACCCAGCGAGAACCCCTCATCTGAGAAAGAACCGTTCTTCCCTCTTTTTAAAGGCAGCCAGGACAGCAGCGACGTGATCGTTTCTTCATCCAACAGTGTTTGGTCAAGGAAAGTGCAGCAGGGAGGAGGCTTCCATCGGTTCCTGGGGCTCAGGAGCTCTGAGGCACGTGGCAGTTCTCTCTTTGGTGGAGTCTCATCCTCTGTATGTGTTCGTAGCACGACTGGGCAAGGAACAGAGCAACCCATTAAGGAGACGTTTTGGAACTTTGGGCCAAGAAAATAATAAGTTATCTGCTGTCTTGCACACAAAAGCGAAGCCACGCTGCCCCCCAGGCCAGGCAAAAGATTAAATCTGTGCATTCTGAATTAAAGATAAGCATATTCCCTAGGCTGGAAGGAAAATAACTTGTGCCAGGCATATAAACAGCCCTCCAAAATTAAATGGCAGTAGAACACATCAGTGTCTCTACTACTCAAGAAAGGCTCGTGATTGTCACGGTCAAAAACGTTTCCTTACCTCCAGCGCTGTTAGCAGAAAGTCGTATAGTCCTCCTTGGTTGGTTGGGTCCATCAAGTCTCTGATCAGATGGATTTCAGCACCCAGGTGCTGTATTCTAGGGAAAAAAAAAAAGTCACAACTAGAACAAATCTCTGGGCAATGGTGTTCGTGAGCATATGCTGGAAATCAGATTAAGGTGAGGAGGTGTGCTCTGGATGGTCGGGTAGGGAGGTGGGTTGTGAACTGGTTGAAAGGAAGAAGTCGGAGAGTTGTGGTCAATGGGACAGAGTCTTGTTGGAGGCCTGTGTCTAGAGGAGTCCCTCAGGCTTAGGTGCTGGCACCAGCGCTGTTAAATATATTCATCAACAACCTTGGTGAGGGAACAGAGAGCGCTGTCAGCAAGTTTGCTGATGGGAGGAGTGGCTGACACCCCAGCAGGCTGCGCTGCCATTCAGCAAGACCTGGACAGGCTGGAGAGTTGGATGGGGAGTAATTTTTGAAATACAACAAGGGCAAGTGCAGAGTTTT